CCACTTTTTAGTCACATATCATTTAAATGTTAAAATAAATTGATATGCCTAGAATGTCCTTGTTAAATTTTCTACAATTAGTTGTAATTTAATTTGTTCATTTTAATAATGAGTTAATACTTAAAGTACATATACGGTCATTTGCATGTTCATACTAGTGAATTTTCAATTTAAAATTTGTTATAAAATTTGGTAATTAACGACTTAAATTTTTTAATTAATTATAATATAAAATGTATACGTAATTTAATTTACCAATAAAATTCATATTTATAATTAATAAACTACATATAAATATTTTCCTTTTACAATTCATGTAAAATTTTACCGAGAGATAGTATGCTTTAATTCAAAATTAAAAAAAATCATATAACTCAATAAAACACGTGATTTACAAAAGAGTAATAATATTCAATAAACACCCGTTTAGATAACAATTGCATAGCATTAAATAATAAATTCACTTAAAGAACAATGTCATCTAACATCAATCTATGTAGCTACACTTTATTTGTTCAATTAAATGAATCATGTGACTTTACATTTAAATGAATATATCATTTAATAGCACGTAATTGCCACATAAACTGGTGATTAACACCCGTGATGATTAATATCAAATAAAAACAATGTCATATGATGCATTCAATTGAACCTATCAATTATGACAATCTAAACTAGTGCTAAATAGCATTATTCTTTATAAAATGCAGACAACACAAGAATAGGACAAATAATATGTTGCACACAACCACGAATTAAGGAAGAGTATCAAATGATTTGTCCCGAGTCAACGTAGGACACATTCCAATGTCATCGAGAACAAAACGTGCGTTTAAGCCCAAAAATTCCAAATACACCAATCCAGCTTTTCCTTGCTTCAATGTTTGCCTGCTTATCCATATACACTACGCACTCGATTGATGAAAATAGATAAAACCTAATACTACTGCATTCCACGCAACAAATTTAATTTTTAAATCTGACAACGAAAATATACTCCATCTAAATCCTCCATCAAACCTCATGAAAATCAAGGTCAATCATGCTACGCAAACAGGGTCAACAAGAAGTTAAAAAACGGGGGGACGTGTGGCGTAGCATCATTGGAAATTTTGGAAAAAAAAAAAAAGTACCCACACAGGGCAGCACCTGTTTTAAAACCCTGTTTGAGTAGCATTATTCAATCGAGGTAGCATCCGAGCAGACCGTGTGGGGCTCACTTTTAAAATCGTGAAATTCTTTAGTAAATTGTACACATGGAGAAAAAAACTATATTAGAGAAACAGGCATTCGACACAAATGTTATTTTACACAATATAGATATGTCTAACATATTGTATA